CTCTCCATAGACGATGTGGGACAAAATGGGATAAACATTGAGGGCAACTTCTACAAACCGGCGAAGTTCTCATGCATATATATATATATATATATTCTTCCAATGTGGGATGCGTTAAATATTAGAGACAAATTTGAAGGGGATATATATTTATCTACATATATATATAACTATTCTATATTATAAGGCCAACACCCACTTTGGTGTGGATGGAAGAGTGAGGTTGTGTAAAGAATTTTCAATTCTGAAATTGTTCAAAACAATTACCTATTTTACATTTGATTAAACTCTATTGTTCATTAATTATTAATTGTAAGGGTAAAATTGTTAAAGAACTCACAAGGCAGTTCTAACTTCTAAGCTGTTACTGCTATATTCCATTACACAATTAGTTCACCCCTCGAAGCAATTGCTTGACTGTTTTCATTCAAAATAGAAATTTGCAAAATCTGATAAAAGAGAATCAATACAAATGGCAACAATTTTTTTTCTTTTTGTATATATAGGCACTCTGTTGATGATCTCATTCACGAGATATTTTAACTAGACACATCTCGTTCCCACAAAACCAGTCGTTGACTTAGCTACTGCATTTCTATTCTGGAGCTTTTCAAATTCCACCAGAACACAAAAAACTTATGTCATGACATGTATCTTCTTGAGGATTTTCTAGTTAAAATACAGATCTTAACTTCTTGAGGATTTTCACCACGCAGCAAAATATAGTAGAGCCTACCATTTGATAAACAATTTGACTCCCTAATTGCACTACTGTTTCCAGATGAGAAGCCTAAACTATTTCAAATGCTCTTTTTAAATAATAATAATAATAATAATAATAAATAAATAAATAATCTATCACAAATTAAACATGCAACAAATATCAACCATCACATCATAGACAAGAAAATGGTAACCGACTCACCCTTTTTCACGCGCACGACCTTCCCAGAATGAGTACGACGCACATGTCTCACAGCAATCCCAGCTGTAGCCGCTTTCCCACCAGCAGGAGCTTTAATGTGATGTTCAGAAAGCATAGACGTAGTAGGCGATTTCGGAGTCTGTGATTTCGGCGATGACGACAAAACCTCCCAATTCTCTGTCGCTATTTTCAGCACTTCCCGCTGCTCCTCCGTCAAAAACCCCTCCCTCGACGCCATTTACACTCACAAATCCTAAACAACACAATCAAATCAAAATCAAGAACAGTAACACAAGAGACAATGCACAGTTGAAATGGCTTTAATTGATTGATTTATTAATTGATTACCTCTCTGCACTTGGAGTAGAGAGAGAGAGAACCAGTGAGTGTGATAAGACTCCAAAACCCTAACCGGCCACTGAAGTTGCAGAGAGATCTCTCGGAGAGGTTGTTCTGCGCTTGGCCCGGATCTCGAGCCAAGACAGGAGAAATATATACAGAGAACGAATAAGGCTAATCGAGAAGAGAGAGACAGTAATTGGAACCCTAGATCGAAGGAAACCCTAGAGCGAGAAAGAAACCGCGCTGTTCAGATTCCAACTTGTGTGATATATATGTATCAGTCTCCAACGCACAATCTGTTTGAGATAGCTACAGAAAGAGAGGGGGAAGGGGATTGGAAGGGAGGAGAGGTATTTATAGGGAGGCTGAGGTTACAAGTACACGTCATCATCTCTAAGGAGTGTACACGTGGCTTTGGCGGTAAAGCTCACCTCTCTGAGTTGTACCCTCTCAATGGCTTCCACCCGGATGTCACACCAAGTTAGGGTTTTGGTTCTCTGTCTGAATTTACCTGATTGCCCTTGGATTTTCTTGTCTAAATAGTAATTAAGTTCAAAAACAAAAACAAAAATAAAATACACAATTACACCTATAAATTTCCGTCAACACTCACATTATCTTGATTTTTTTTTTACACGAGTGTCATAGTTATAACTTATGACGTACGTGATGGATATGAAGAGAAATTGGGAGAATGTATTTAAAAAATTTGAAAAGAAAATTAATATTAAAATTAAAACTAATTGATAGGGGTGTAAATGTGATTTGGCCCAGCCCATGTCGGGTCTCGCGGGTTCCCGTCAAAATTCAGGCTGGCCGGTTTACATGTCAAAAAATTAAGCTTAAGCTTAAGCTTAGAGGTGTTTGGGCCTTGGGCTGGCTCGGTAGGCCTGGGCCTGACCTCTGGCTTGAGCGGGGCATGAGCAGGCCTAATTATTTTTTTTTTATTTTTTTTAATATTTTCTATCAAAATTTTATTATTTTCTATTAAAAAAGACATTGAGCCTTCGGACCGGGCTTTGAGTGAACCTTAAGTAGACCGATGGGTCGGACCGAGTTTCAAAATGATGGCCCAGTGGCTCGGGTTGGGCTCGGGCTCAAACGAGCCTAAATGGGCCGGCCCTACCCTAGGCCACGAGTGGGTTTCGGACTGTCCATGAGCCGCATGCCATTTTTACACTCCTCCTACTAATTGATGATCTCTAATTGAAGTTCAGCTTCTTCTTTTTTTTTTTTTGGTCTTAAATAGTAAATCAATTTTTGTGATCATCATATGTGAGGGTTATTATGGGAATTTTGATCATTGTAATCAATTTTTCATCTTTTATTATATTGTAAAATACAAAGGAAGAATAAATGTTTAAGAAATGAGAAATTAAGGCACAATTTGACAATCCAGCTAAAAGTTAACTTTTAGCTCATTTTAAGTCATATTATCTCTCATATTTTTTATAGATAAAAAGATAAAAAAAAATTTAAAAAAATTAAAAAATTAATTTTTAATTAACTTCTAAAATCATCCTTAATTAATCGTATTTATAATACACACGTGTTCTTTTGATACTATAGAGACATGCGATTATGTGATGGGTTAGGAAATATGAGAGGGACAATTAATGGGGTAAGAAGAAAAATTGGGAAATTTTCTTATAACTAATCATACCTCCACTTTCAAAGTTCTCCCAAGAAATCATTCCTCCATTTCCAAAATTCTCCCAAGAAATCATGCCTCCATTTCCCAACATTTCCTTTTTTATAATATGATAAATTTTTTTAATGATACTGAATATATTACAAGAGAAAATTTAATATTGGAATGATGAAAGCTCAGTTTGATTAGATAGATAAGATTAGAAAATAAAATAAAAAGAAATAAAATAATTTTTATGTGTTTGTTTAGATAGAAAGTCTTAAAAAGTAATGAAAATTAAAATTTCTTGTACAACTCAAATTAACTTATTAATTAAGCTAACAATTTCTTACAAAATATACTGAAAATTTTATTTTTTCCCACAACTCTTCCCTTTTTGCCCATGTTATGACTATATTTTTTCCCATCATTTTCTTACAAAATTTTCCATCTATTTAAATGAATTTAAGAAAATAAATTTTCATTTTTTTCCCCTTTCTTTCGCTTCACTTTCTACCATTTTCATTTTCTATCCTACGTTTCTTTCTAAATAAACAGTGCTTAGGAGAAAATTTAATGTTGCCTTATTTGCATTCCACTACTTGATCCTTGCCCAAAAAGAAAACTATCTTCTTAAATAACAAGATTATATTTGCAATAAGCATGAATTATAAATGACAAATATGAAGAAGAGAAAATTGATGAATTGTTGTAAATATCATGACTAGAATCTTAAACCTTAAATCCTAAATTTTAAATCATAAAACCCCAAACCCTAAATTTTAAACCATAAAATCCTAAATCCTAAACCTTAAACCCTAAATTTTAAACCATAAAACTCTAAACCCTAAATTTTAAACCATAAAATCCTAAATCCTAAATCCTAAACCCTAAATTTTAAACCATAAAATCCTAAACTCTAAATTTTAACCATAAAACCCTAAATCCTAAATTTTAAATCATAAAACCCAAAAGCCTAAATTTTAAATCATAAAACTCTAAACCTTAAATCTTAAATTTTAAACCATAAAACCCTAAACTTTAAACACTAAAGCCTAAATCCTAAACTCTAATATCTGCCCCCCGAAAAAAAAAAAAAAAAATCAAGCACCAACGCAGCACCAAAAAAAAGGAAAAAAAAGAAGAAGCAAGATTCGAGGCCTCAAGCTTTAAATTACAATATGCACGCCATATTATCATACACTTTTTACATATGTAAGAAGCATATTAAAATATGTTAAAAAATCGTATAAAAATGGAAAATGCTAATCACAACCATCTCTATGAAAAATTTGGATTAAAATTTGTTTGTAATCAACTTGAAAAGTGGACATGACAAATTTGAACACATTTTGAAACTTGTTTAAACTGAACAATCTACAATTCAGTTCATTATAGTTCCTTATCAAAAATATAAAGGTAGCCTAAATTATTTAGAATGAATCTGAATCACATATTACATTTTTTAAGTATTTATCCATAGAGCATTGCTTAATAACAATTTGCATAAAATGACTAACATAATATGGACTGTTTGCTCGGGAGCTGGGGAACAAACCACCAAAAGCTAGGGCTTTCAATATTTACTTTGGTCATACTGGTGACTTGGGCCAAATTGTAATTACCAAACATGGCAAAACATATGCATACCCCGTTCAAGCCCGCTACGGCAATCAACTGCTTGGATGCAAGCCAGGGGAGGGGAGGGGAGGGGAGGGGAAGTGGGGGTGGAAAGAAGTGGCAAGTGGTGGCAGAGAGCTTGTGGGGAAAGGAGTGTTGGGGTTAGAAAAGGAAAACATCTCCCTCCTAAGCTTGCATCTCGTGTGTTTTTAAGACCAGAGCATCTCCCTAATTTCTGGGAAGAGCTAGGTCAAAAGCATGATTCTGCACTCGATAAGCCATCTGGAAATGAAGGGTGGCAGCATAAGCAGTAGTAACCTGAGTAGCTCCACCTAATTGGTCATGGAGATTCAAGGCTGAGGGAAGATAAAGATCAGCAAACAATGACGTGTCTAAGTTGGGGAAAAGGGTGACAAAGATAGTGGAGTGGGTTTGGATACCATTTAAACCCCTTGCTCCAAACATTTTGCCAATATACATCCATCAAGAACAAACTTTGCTCCAACCATAAAATAATGGCAACAAAATAAGCAACCGAATTCTGCCCTGGCTACAAGCTACCAAAATTCAAACCTTTGTATTTAAATGAAATGAAGAGTTTGTTATACGATAATTCATATTTTTCTCACCTATCCCAAATTTGACATATCTCTATTTGAATGCAACACACCTTAATCATTGATTTCTTGCTCTTGGTTTATAACCCCTTGTCAGTTGCTGAGATCTGATCAAACCATGTTGGGCCTTTGTGGTAGCAGAAGATTATAGAATTTGTCATGTAGAAAGAAATGCTTTCCCTTGCTATCAACAGCCTTCTTCCACCCACACCATCCACCATTCACAATTTTCTTCAGATCATCACTGCCTGTATAGTGAGGATCAAGTATCAGAAATGCACAATCTCCACTTGTTTCATTGTAATCAATCCCCAGAAGAGTATATGCAAGAACTCCACCACCTGCATGCATAAACTAAGTGATAAGTGGCCAACAAATTTGCTTTGTTTTCTTTTCCCGTGTGATTTATGAAGCAAGCACCTCTCCCCAAATCACGTACTAGTGTCGGACACGTAATGGAAACTGTCACATCTTTTTTTTAATCGGACACGCAGTGTCCCTTGTTTCACTGGAGTAGCATACCCAAAGTCAAATTTGATGAGAATATATATTCGACATAAAATAAATATATGATATATAAGTAAGTATATAAAGTTAGATGTTTTGCATGTGCCTCCTGTGTGTCATGTCCTACATTTTCTTAAAATCTGCACGTTCACGTGTCCATGTCATGCACATGTCTGTTTCTTCCATGAGAACCCAACAAAACCAAACTGGAGTAATCATTTCCACACCCATCAAATAAATAAATAAACAAGGACGAAAAGGAGAAGAAAAGACAATAAAAAGAAAGTTTTATTCATGACTGAAGATATGCATCTTGATCTTGAGAAGCCTACAAACATTGTAAATATATGGCCAAAAAGGGGAAATGAAATTTACTGACCAATCATAATCGGTGTTCCCTGGTTCTCAAAATGCAATGCCAGCTCTCGACATTTTTCAGGAAGCTCAGCTCCCGATCTAACATTTATGACTTTACAACTGACCTGTTTAACCCAGCAACTCAACAAGTCAACCCTGATTGTGTGTCTATATTTAGATATACATTATAATAACAGATACTTCAATACATTTTTTGTTTGGGTAAGTTACAGTTTTATTCCAAAACAAAACGACTAAAACAACTATAGGGAAAAAAACAAATCCAACACTCAAGATCACAGGAGCACAGCCCTTCAAAATATGCAATCAGAAATCCCCCAAGATGCTAAAAGATGCCTATCAGCCCTTCAATACATTTAATTGCCTTTCAAAAGTCGAGATCCACCCAGCATGCAATGAATCATATGATCCAAACATGAGCAATGGCAGTCAAAATTCAGAATCATACTTTTATGGAGAAGTAGCATACTTACACCGAGAAGTTTATCTAAAACAAAGCTTAATTCAATAGCTCCAATCCATTCACGTGACCCTATAAATGAAGGTTCCTTATCTCCAATCTCCACAAGTGACTGCTGTATTTCCCTAAAGAAATGAAATTTGCTTGTCAAATCATATTGAATATTGTTTCTCCATAATGAGATTATTCCATGGATATATTTAAGTAGTGAGTGAACTACCATAGCACAAGATAAGCAGATACTATTTGGAAATCACACCTAAAACTATTATCCTCATCAATAAGACAGGGGGAAAAGTGTAATCAAATTCATTATAACATTGTAAGTGGCAATCTTTCTTACCTGTGTGAAGGAATATCAATGGATGTGTAATGTTGAAGCCTGAACCATGAAATGATAGTTTGTAGAGAGCGGTAGGCACAACCCCAGCCCTAGCAAGTGAAATATGCATGGATAAATAATTGATTAATAATTTAATTACGGTTCGATATTTTGATTTTCAAAAGAATATCACGCAATCAGCAAAAGTTTATACAAAAAACAAACAAAACAGAGTTGGATTTTACAAAACATTGCAAAAATCTCCAAAATCTTTTAGAACCTTATTTCCTCCTAGTTAGTAACCCTGGATGTTGCATTGAACAAGAAAATAGGTACATCCAATAAGCCTCATTTACTATGGCTACGTTCTAACAACATTCTCCACCCATATATAAGTAAGAATTGAACAATGCATTTGAAATGTATCCGTGAAAAATGCCATTAATTCTTGTTGATTGGTGTGAGTGGGTAGACGTGGGCTAGGTAAGAATGGAGGCAGCCTTAGGGGAATAGAGAGAGGCAATAATGGAAGTCTAATGGAGATGAACCAAAAATCTCCAAAGCTGCCAGAGGAGTTTCTCAAGAACCAACTTGCTCAAGAACAAAGGAGACCAAACCAACTAGCTATTTCTAGGGGTCCAAACCAAGGAGACCAGCTTACCAAATGTGCCAAAGAGCATGTGTAAGTGGGTCAGTCGTGACTCGTGAGGATATGACTCTTGAAGGTTTGCACTCAATAAACCCCTCAAACCAAGGAGGCCACACACACACACACAAAAAGCCCACTTAACTACTAGCCCCATGCAACTAAAATCTGAAAGCCCACAAGTCCATGGATTCATTTTATATCTGAAAGCCCATTAGGAATCCAATGGACTAAAAATTGATTACCCACGTGGTTCTATAAGTGCAAACTACAGCCAATTCTCAAGAGTCTCCACTTGTTTTTAGGTTCCGAGAATGAAATCCTCTAATTTAACTCCATGCACAGGGACTAATCCCTTTGTTACAAGAACCTATTTTAGGGACTAAGGTACAAAGTGGGGAGGGTTAGGCACCCATTTTTATTGACCAAGGTTGACTTCTACTTATCACTTAATTGGTTCATCAAATAAACCCACAACAAGAAACAAACCATAGCAGATAATAAAGCAAGTAAATTCAAATAAAGGAAAGAATTAATTCAACTAAGCAATTAGAGGAAAGAAGCAAAATAAGAAATTTCTAACATAGAACTTTCCTAAAATGGATTAGGTAACTTCCCAAAATTGTGTTTTCCACAAACATACACTTTACAAAAACAAGGCCTCCTTAACAGAGACTTCGCAATACTGAACTTTAGACAACAAGAATTCCCCAAAAGTTAACTTTCTAAAAGCCAAGTTTCCAAAAGCAAAAAATCACTTCTTTAAAAAAGAGAAATTTCCAAAATATAACTTTTTCAATAAAAAAATCCAGTGAAGTTTTAGGAGAGTTCCTAATCTCACAAACATGCCAAAGATACAATTTCCGTGACCAAAGCATATTCAATAGTAAACGGTTTCCACTCATCATGCCTCAAGATTTGCAGGGGCGAGAATGGAGAATGTACATTGGCCTAGCTTAGCATCTCTAAGAAGGCCACATACATCTAGATTTATGCATGCAAATTGTTAAAATCCACCTACTCTCCACCTACTTCCCCCACTTAAACCTACTCCACTAAACCTAACCCACTACACCACTACCACCTCACCTACTCCACTAAACCTAACCCACTACACCACTACCACCTCCACTTCACCTACTCCTTACCTACTACACACTCACCATCTTCTATATATAGGAATCATGAATCATTGTAATAGAAATCAACCTTAAATCAATCAATAATACATACAATTTATTCTCTCTCTATTTCTCTTTATACATTAAATTTTACACAAATTATAAAAACTAATACAAAACATGTTTAAAACATGTTTTCTAATGAAAAAATTATAAAAACTAATACAAAACATGTTTAAAACATGTTTTCTAATGAAAAACAACTCATGAAAGTGAATATCTTAAACATAGACCAACCTGTACAAATTACATGCTCAAAATCCTAGAAAATGTTCACAAAGCAAACCAAATAAAGCAATGCACACTATTAAACAACAAAATAAAGGGTTAAAATATGAAAACCTGCCTCAAAGAAGCAAGCAAATCATTTTATTAGATTGGCGCACTCCCACATAACTTGTGTTTGGATGTGATTGATGTGAATCCACAAACTTGCTTCTAATGATTCTCTGCTTGATCACGAACTTGAAGCAAGGTTGAGGGGGAAGTAATGGAAAGAGTTGGAGTAGCCTAGACCTATAGGATGGCCCACAAAAGGTTTTGGAAAAGTAAAAAGAAGGGTTTAGAAATGGGGGTTTAAGTTGTGGTAGCTAGGGTTGTTGAACAAGCACTAGGGTTCCCTCTACTTCTCTCTCTTACTCAATCTTGTGTTGCTTTTATCGACTTAAGTGGCTTGGATTAGTCGGTCCATTGGGCTGGATACTGAGTTATCCCAAAAAAAAGTAGCTTGGATACCAGTTCAGGAACCTTAGGGCAGCTCTCTAGGATACCAAGTCAGTAAAGCTTTCAATGAACTAGTGAGTAGTGAAACTTAACTGAAAATTATCATATGCAATCAGAGACAGAATTAACTAAATGATTCAAAATCACAAGGCAGTGAAAAAACTTTTCAAGGAAAGGCAGTAAGAAATGAACATGTATTTCCAAGGTGTCACAAAGCAAATACTTAAAGGAGAAATTATATTACTGAGTCATTGAATCCATCTTGAAGGTAATGATGGTATTCATAAGAACCTTGAACCATAGAGACAATGCCACCAGAAACTGCACAATACATCAAGGGTTTCAGTGAAAGTGTAAAACTTAGAGGATGCCCAAGAAAAATGTAAAAGTATCACTATTCACTAACCCCCACTGCTTGGAATCCCAAGATGAACATCCTTCGGCAAAGAGGAACCTGAAATTGCCAAAATGGGTCAACAACGTCAGAGAATAAGCTAATGGATGCGCACACAACCACTGATCATAGAAAATGTAGCTTATTTGAAACCAAATGATTACCCTTCCATATTGAGTTGCTTCTTGCACTATCCTTCAGTGTAAATAAATTTATGGCATTGGCAATTCTTAGGAGAGGACGATCAGAAGGTAATCCCAGCCTCAAATGTAGGGATCTTCTAACGTTAACTGCAAAAAGCAAATTCTATTAAATGGTGCAAGATCCAGAATCTCAAAGGTAAATATTGATCAATGAAATAAGAGCATCACATCCTACTACGTGATAGAAAATGTCAACATAATGATTAATCATATGAGAAATGTTCTCTCCTATCTTTTTCCATAGAAACATTCTTGTAGGAGCGGAGCACTTATGCCTTAATTATATTGGAAGCCATCTAGATATATTTACACACAACGAATAGCAAACTTTACTCAACTATTGCAGTACCCGAGCCGTATTGCGTTAGAAACATTCTCTTTGAAGTTTCTCTCTTAAACTTGTAATTTATTAGACAACCCATTTTTTTCTCTTGTTCCACATCATTTAACAACCCTGTCTAAGGAGGTCTCATACTTGTACTACAACTTGCCCATACCTGGGAACTTGTCTTTGTTTTTCCATGCAAAGGACATTGATCTTCATGCCAGTATCATTGTTACAAAGCTCATGGTGAGGAGCTACCATCTACTTTTAATAATTACAAAGTTCATGCTCAGAAATGGATTTCATACAAACATTTGAAAATAGATGTGCCTTTATATTGTTCAGTGAATATAGCTGAACTCCAAATGACTAAAAGAATATTCCAGAAGAGCCCTATGATTCCACATCCTCCCAACAATGACAAATACATCATTTAGTAATATATTGTGCTTCAGTTTGGCTTCGCCTCACCCAAAAGTAGTTTTTTTCCCAACAACCAAAAGTTGTTATGTCAGTATGTAGGGATTTAATGTATAAAGAGAAAAAGAGAATTGTATTATTGATTGATTCACCCAAAAGTAGTTTTTTTCCCAACAACCAAAAGTAGTTATGTCAGTAAAAAGTTTGGCTTCACCTCACCTTGCTTCATTTCTGTCTCCCCATAACTGAGTTCATAGATAACACTTATTGGATGCAAAAACCCAGGAGGACTGAAGTGATATGGGCGCAGCTGCAGAACAATAAACGTATAAGAAGTTTTCTGGAGGCAATAAAGAATGCAAAATCAGATAAAGATCAAAAACTCAATTATTCTAATTATACAGAAACCCTATTCATTTAACATGATAAACTTGAAGATAAATAACATAACTACATTTTTTTTAATAATTAAATATAAATTAATAGAAAGGCATCAAAGGGGATGAAACCAAACTAAACTAAACCTTGGGTTCCAATCAAGTGGGGTCAGCTAATCAAAAGGGATGAAGCCCATGTACAAAAACTTAAAAACTAAAAAGTACTAAAGAGATCTATTAATTGGTGAAAAAAAAAATTAAATTAAATTTCAGTACAAGAATACATTATTTTAAAATTCTCATTTTCCGTATTGGAAAAACAATTTGGGATGGAGGGAGTATATTGTTAGTTAAATTGTGTCATTCTTCTAGTAGATGAGAACAGTCTGTCATTCTTTTAATGTGGCATGGAATGTGGAGTGCCAAGGTTTAATCTTCCAATAACATGGACTAGAGTGCATAAAGTTCAGAACAACATGAACTAGTTGTGCAAGCCTGAAAGTGGGGTGAGACCTAACCAGAACTACAGATTTTATACTCAATTATGTCATTCTTTACGAATATCTGAAGAAAATTCATGTCTTTAGCCCTTAAAGCAGCTTGATGTAGATTAGTCTGCATACAACCACAAGAATGTACTCATGTCTGTGTGTGCGTGTGCGTGTGTGATTCCCATTTGTAATTTTTATTAAGAACTGAAGATTAACTTACCAAGGGTTGCTGTCCTAAGAGGTTGGGCAAAATTGTGTTCTTCATGGTACACAACTGGTCAACTAACCCAGGGATGATCAATTTTGAAACTGCCTGCTTCAGTGGAAGATCCTTCGCCGCATAACAAAGCACTTCTAACTTATAATCTACAACCAAAAGTTTGGCTTCTTTCAAAGCTGAAAGAACACATGTTAATTATCAATACATATAATGAGATATAATATAAGTCCAGTCAAAAGGTGATAAAGAATGACATTTACATCTGCATATAGAGATAAACCAGAAATGATTTGATAATGAATTCATTACCTGGGAAATATTCAGCAATAGGTGCAGCAGATTTGGGAGAATTTTCTGATCTATTTAGTAGGACACTTACTTGGATCTTATCTGCATTCTAACCAGAAAAGTTTTTACAAAAGTTGCTTTTAGGAAAATGATAGATTGATCTATGCTTTACAGATGGAATCATAATATAAATAATTCAAATTCTCAATTCAGATATGGGAAATAATATCTATACAAAAGTAACATGAAATTTACCTCCTCTATGGAAGTAAATGATTGGATATCTTTACTTTCTGAACAGAAGTACAAACATGCTAAAGATTTTGCATCAGCTTCAGCATTCCTAAGATCTGCATGGAAATCCAATTCCACACCACGAACAATGACAGGATGAGGTACTTCAGTTGAGGATTCATGTAATGTTTCTACCATGTATGTGACGTGTGGATCTTTAAGTCTAGCAGCAATGACATCAGTTGCACACAAATACATGTCTTCAGCTTCTGAAAAACATCAATTGTTCATTAGAGACAACATGTATCACATTAATCAAGAAATCACTTCAGAACAGATCAAAAATAACATAAGTATGCAAAGGATACTCAATCATAATTGCAACTCAATTAAATATCTCATTAACCTTGTACTGTTGACAACCAAAGTTGAGAAACAATAGAACAAGTTTCACAAAACAAGGAAAAAGAAAAAATTTAATGCTGTTGTTTACTGAAATTGCCAATCTGATGTTTGTGCCTAGAAGGGGGGAGGGGTGAATAGGCTGAACTCCAATTTTAAAATTACCAAGTGATTGATTAAGTCGAATTTCAATTCAATTAAGATTCAATCAATCAATTCACAACAAATTAAAGATCAATATGCTAGAGACAAACAATTTAATGTGGAAACCCTATAGCAACACACTCCTATAGGGGGAAAAAACACAATCCCATCACCCAACACAAATCCAATGTTCAATCATTAAGTTACAAGACTCAATATGAAGGAATAATAACTCTTACCCAACTTTATCTAAATCTTTGAGTCTACCCACAAGTCTTCCCAAGCTTGATTTCCAGTCCATAGTGACTTTGACCGCAATTGGCCTTTTCCGATCCAATAGCAATCACAAAGATCTTTGCTCCGTTCTCCATTCTTCAACAGCTTTGTTACTCAACACCCATGGAATATAAGTTAATACGAAAGTGAGAGTGAGGGACGTTGCCAAGTTGGAAGGTAGTCGTGCTCTTGAGGGAGGATACGTGTCATCTACTCTAAAGAAGGAAAATGATCTGCCTAATGTGGTGATGGGAAACTTGGAGAACACACATCCTTCTCAAAATGAAAACCAAAAAAGAAACTCAAGAAAAAGATACGCAACCTCAAGCTTGCTAGAATAATGTGATGTACAATAATTTAATTTTTGGTTTTGTGTCTTTGGTTATGTTGTGAGAGGATGCCTTGATTTAGTTGGCCTAACCTTGTGCTTGTGAGTGGCTATTCTCTAAGCTAGGTTCATTTTGTGTTGCCTTTTTGTAAGCCTGTGAGCCTTTTTGGCAATGCTAGTGTGTCCCCTTTGGACTTGTGTATTGAACCTTGTTTTATATCTCTTTTTTTAATTACCCAAAAAAATACACCCTAGAGAGAATTCAAAACTTGCCCAAAGTACCCATAGTACCATCCACATTACCCTCACTAATGTAATATAATGACTATTTATGAATTATAATGTAGGGCCAAAAAGGAATTAAAAGGTGAAAAATATGCGTCTAAGAGACTCAAATGTGAGTCGAGAGCGCCTTGAAGTAGTTTCAAAGCTCGAGCCATTGGTGAGCTCAGGTCAAGCAAGGCTTGCAGCAATTCTAGCACTCGAGCAATTGTCAAGTACTAGTTAAGCGGGCCTGGCAGGATTTCCAGAGCTTGAGCCACTGCCGAGTGCTAGTTGAGTGTGCTCCAAAAAATTTGAAGAGACCAAAAAAAAAGAAGAAGAAGACGAAGAAAAAGAAAAAACTTAAATTTTCAAAATCCTACAATATGAGATGGTGCCTAAAAACAAGTGTGGTGCAAAGTGAATTGTGCAAAAGTGCAAGGGTTCAAATGGGTCCAACATGCCATGAGCCAATACCACACTCTCAATCTAAAAGAACATGCCCCAAACCTAAAAGGTACAGATTTCGGGAGTTTTATACTACGAAAATTGTCAACCTAACAAAATCTATCCTAACATTTAGGTCAAATTCCTAAGAAAGGTTGTTTCAATTTTGCCTCACATTTAACAACAATAGCTATTTTAAACTGTTCGTAACTATCTGGCTCATGTCTGTGACTTTCTGCTCATCATCTCCAATACAAAGAAAAGAATAATTCTCTATTAGAGGGTACTTAACATTGCCATCTATGATTCTCCTGGTCCACTAGTAACTATATAAAACAAAATTTTGTAATTTCCATGCAAAAACCTGAGCATGCTTCTTTTATGTCCTCATAAGTATCATAACTTTCTGTTAAAACCTACCATCACCTACTCCACCTACTACACCTACTACCACCTACTACACACCTACCACTACCACCTACTCCACTACATCTCCTATATAAGGAGCCCCTCACCATTTGTAATATATAACATACAACAATTAATAATACAATCATTTCTCTTTATACATTAAATTTCTACATGGTATCAGAGCAAGTTTAAAAGATCTTGGTGTTCTTCGCCTTCCGACGGGCGGCAACCTTGCCTTGACCGCCCGCCGGAGCTCAACCAACTCAAACCTCCCTCTCTCTCTCGGCACCTCACTTTCTCTCTCTCACTCTCTCTCTATCTCTGTTATCCGATTTGGGCCTCATCTCATATCCATGGCTACTCAAGGTCAGGTCATCACCTGCAAAGCTGCGATTGCTTGGGAAGCAAACAAGCCGTTGTCGATCGAAGACGTTCAGGTGGCTCCGCCGCAAGCCGGCGAAGTTCGAATCCAGATCCTGTTCACTGCTCTCTGCCATACTGATGCTTATACTTGGAGCGGAAAGGATCCTGAAGGTTTTTTTCCATGTATTCTTGGTCATGAAGCTGCTGGGATTGTAGAGAGTGTTGGCGAAGGTGTAACTGAAGTTAAGCCTGGAGACCATGTCATACCTTGTTACCAGGCAGAATGTAGGGAATGCAAGTTTTGCAAATCAGGGAAGACAAATTTATGTGGCAAAGTTAGGGCTGCCACTGGAGTTGGAGTCATGATGACTGACCGTAAGAGTCGTTTCTCCGTCAATGGAACTCCCATTTATCATTTTATGGGAACTTCGACATTTAGTCAGTACACTGTTGTCCATGATGTTAGTGTTGCAAAGATTGATCTAAATGCCCCCTTGGAGAAAGTGTGCCTTCTTGGTTGTGGTGTTCCCACTGGTCTTGGAGCAGTTTGGAACACAGCAAAAGTAGAACCAGGTTCCATTGTTGCTGTTTTTGGCCTTGGGACTGTTGGCCTTGCAGTGGCAGAGGGCGCGAAATCAGCTGGTGCTTCGCGAATTATTGGTGTCGATATTGACAGCAACAAGTTTGATATAGCAAAGAATTTCGGGGTCACTGAATTCGTAAATCCAAAGGACCATGACAAACCAATACAGCAGGTTATTGTTGATCTTACAGATGGTGGTGTTGACTATAGTTTTGAGTGCATTGGGAATGTCTCTGTAATGAGAGCTGCTTTGGAAGTGCTGTCACAAGGGATGGGGTACCTCTGTTATTGTGGGTGTTGCTGCTTCCGGTCAAGAGATATCCACTCGGCCTTTCCAGTTGGTGACTGGCCGTGTTTGGAAAGGAACAGCATTTGGTGCAAACACACTGGTCCACCACAACTGGGACCTCATTTTAATCAATGACCTGATCTGAGGCAATCAAGACACCCAATCTCTCTCTCTCTTCCTTTTGCCAGAATTGAATACCCACTCTCCCTCTCCTATCATACACAGATAAACACATTGTTTTTCTTATCACTTCCTCTCACTCTCTCATAAAATAATACACCACCTCTCATGGACCCGACAGACCCTAGACTCATTATTATGCTCTCCATTCTCACCTTCTCTCTCTCTTCACTTTATCACATGGGTTTGTTCCTCTCTCTCCTCCACTTTGATTTCCAAATCAATTATTTTTATTTATTTATTTATTTTTTTCAATCACTTTAATCTTTTTTAAATACCCCACTTTTATTATATAATCAACATATCCATCATTCTTTTCCCCACTCAAATATCTTATACTAGCCTTCATTGATTCCACTGGATTCCAACACTTCATTTTAATCTTATTCTTATTATTATTTTCAAAAAAAAAAAAAAACACAAAACTACATTCATTCTAGTTGATTTTTTCTGCATTACCACACCTACCTTTCGAGTTTGCACAACACACTTGCTTTATTCATATCAGGGATTTACCCACTCACCATTCTCCACAACACACACAAAAAAAAAAAAAAAAAAAAAAAAAATCAAACAAACAAACAAACCAAAACACAACACCAAAAGATTTGTTTTCTTTGCTGCAGACGGCCACCCACCGACCTCACTTATTCGCCTATTCCGCCGGTCTCTTCTTCTTGCCTCCGTCCTGCGCGGCCCTTGCCGGTGTTGCCTCCGTGTTTCCCCCTCCACTGGGCACGATCACTACTCCCTGCTCCTCCACTGCCGCATATGGCGGACCTCCAAATTGGAACATAACGGTGGCCTTCCGCTTCAGCTCCTTATTTTCCGCCTTTAGCACACTTATCTCTGCTCGCGCATCCTTATACATGCGTTGGAGCAGAGCCAGTTGGGCGTTTAACTGCTGCACCTCATTTGTCCTACTCTGTAGCCGGTGCGATAAGTTTGTGACCGCAGTCATGGTTTTAACACATGACTTCAATGTATACTGATTCGCCTCAATATCTGATTGCGCTGCCATTCTTTGCTCCACAGACCGCATAGGAAAGGTCAACGGGGAGCAAAACCAGAGGTGTTTGGTTGAGGTTCACGGGCCACCGCACCAGTTATCTCTCTTGTGGACTCGTTGAGGTCGGGAAAGAGAGTGAGCAGACCACGGGAAGAAGAGGCCATGTTTTGGGTAGCTGAACGGGAAGAAGAGGCCATGTTTATGGGTTGCTGAGTGTTTCAGAGAAGGGCTGGTTACAGAGTATCTCTCTCAAGACAACGAAGAGTTTCTCAGAGGTTTTTAGCCAGTTTTTTGTCTTAGCCTCTGCCTTAGCCTCAGCATCCGTCTTGGTTAAATAGCCAAGGCACGCCAGACGACAAAATGGGCGCGCAAGCCAATGTGGTGACGCGCCTCGCCATCATGTCCGGCACATCTTTTTATGACTTAGGCTCGCCTTTTGATGGCATGCCTTTTTATGGATTGGGCACGCCTTTTGATGGCATGCCTTTTGAAAGATTGGGCACACCTTTTGAGGGTGCGACTTTTTAAGGGTCCGACAAGACTCTGTAAACTGTCCCGACATAGATTCCGGTTAGTTTCTACAAGGGTCCAGCAAGACTCCGTAAACTGTCACAACAACTGTCACAACATTGTCTGCTACAACGGTCCGACATGACCCCATAAACTGTCCCGACATTCGGTCTGCCATAACCATACAGTCTTCTACAACGGTCTGACACGACCATACAGTGTCTCCTATCCATTTTTTATTTTTCAGATTATTTTCTTGTTTTGTTACTCTCTCCAAACTCAAGTTGGTTAGTTCCTATCCCCCTTGAGTTTGCGGGGGCTGTTAAAACCTACCATCACCTACTCCACCTACTACACCTACCACCACCTACTACCACCTACTACACACCTACCACTACCACCTACTCCACTACATCTCCTATATAAGGAGCCCCTCACCATTTGTAATATATAACATACAACAATTAATAATACAATCATTTCTCTTTATACATTAAATTTCTACACTTTCTATTGCGCATCGAATTCTACTTGTGTTTTTGTGTCATAAAAGTAAGAGCATCACTTATTTAGTTCTGAAACTGATGGAAGTTTGAGTAGAAACAAAAGATTCAATTTTAAAAGAAAGTATTCCACCAAACGCATTCAACATAAACAAATGGTACTCCGCATGACACTCAATTTGCAATTGCACACACATCTGAAAGCAATGATCAACTACACAACTCCCTATCATGCTCTATGCTCTCTAGTATGATGTATTTGACATAATGAAGATTATTTATCCCCAAAAAAAAATGACATAATGAAGATGTATGATAGCTTAATAAAGTGATTCAAATCGCACCATTGACCTGGATTGACATTGTTATTGAACTTCATGACCTTCCCCACTAGTCTATCATGGTCCCTATGGACCTAGTGCCCAACTATTTGGATCAAAAGCTCTCTAAAATTTATCTTCTAATTCCTCACCTATATCACTTTCTAAATTTTTTTATGTTTGTCTGAGCATGAATATTTCCCACCCAGGCATTAGACCCGTTTGGCAGCCAACTTTTTGGCTAAAAAACACAAAAGGCCAAAAATGCCAAAATGTCACATCATATCGATCAATCAATAAAATTTTCCCCATTAACTATCTATTCAACTAAAAAAATAATTCCAAACACGTCAAAAGCCGAAAATTCACTAAATAGGCCAAGTTACCAAACGAGTACTTAGTTTTTAAATAGTAATATTATCTACATATACAAACAAATAAATACATCCTTACATATATTGAGACACATTTAACCAGCAATATGAACACAGCTAATAGTAGTACAACTTAAGTGGCATGAATCAGGATAACAAGCAAAACCTTTATAACCTTTACATAAAACAAATTAAAATTTTAGAGTGTTCTACGAAATACAAAGGCATTGCAAACAATTGAAGCCAAAAAAAAAGGGAAAACTTACCTTTCGGACTGTCTACAGGACAATAAACTGGCAACTTAACTGGAAGCTCGCATCGAAGTATGCAACCTCTCTCCCAAATATACTTCTCAGGCTGATCATGATAAAGAACATCACTAACAGACTCAAACATTGTCGAATTTCCCAACCTCGATACAAAAAACCGAACATTGCCAGTATTCAAATCCGCAACAGCTCCAACCAAATCAAGATTAATTGAGTTTCTTCCCTCAACATTACCAGAAATAAAATTCCTCAGTTTGCACGAGGCATCGATGGCCTCAGTCGCAATTTGATCAAAATCAGGATTGTTTCTAACAATCAACGCTCCGATTACTTCAAAACCCTTCAATAACAGTGTCCTTAGGTCATCTGCACATAAATTATTTAAGTAAAGATATATGCATACATAAATACACACACACACTATCATATAGAGAGAGTACCCGACTCCTTGGCATAATCTGGGGCGAGTGGATTGGAGGGTAGGGTATGGATGCATCTGAAGGTGGAGGCAATTGTAAACGGAGGGAAGAAAGGAGATCCAATAAGCCATTGAAGGCCTGGTTCGTTCTTGATGATCACCAACTTACGACACAGAACTTGTACACTTGTTTTCGCATTCTCACCATCCATGGATCGGACTCTTCTTTGACAAATTGAAACAATCTCTGTCCTCTTGCCTTCTTGCTTCTCTCTCCAATTTATGCTGTGCCGTCCTTTTTTCAGGAGAAGGAGGGTGCAAGAATAATCAATCCTATATATTTCTTGTTAATTGTTATATCCAATATTGTCGGTGTTCAATAGTTGAGTCAACCGGCATCGAAACCGAACATATTAACTTTTTCAAAAAATATATATGTATATATATAAATAATCTATTTTTTCTTAATAATGTTATTCCTTGTTTAAATAAATAATCTATTTTTTCTTAATAATGTTATTCCTTGTTTAAGAACAATTCATAAGAGATTCATAGCTCTTGTTTTAAAAAAATAAAAATATATATTACAAATAGGGGTACGTGCTGTGTAGTTCGGATAATTTAAAAGTAAAATTATAAATTGAATAGCGAGTTAGCGAATTGACAAATTATAATTTGAGCAGTTTTTGACGAATTAATAGATTGATAAATATTCTAACTAATTATCATATATTTGCATAATATATAATACTAATTTGTATAATATTTTTATATATATAACACAAAGTAATTTTACATAATATGTTTTATATATATAACCACTAATTTGTAATAAATTTTATATCTTAAATTTCTCTCACACTTATTTTTATATTGATATTTTATTGGAAGTTAAAAAATATATATGTATTAATTATAGCAGAGCGGAGCGATTCGTTGACGAATTATAAATTTTAAAATTTAAACGGCGATTAATGGTAAGAACGGTAAAGATTGATGCAAATTGGTATAATTTTAACGAATTAGACGGTATTTTGCACCATCTTAATTACAAATGCACAAAATCAGTTCTAGAATAAGTTTTAAAAGCACACCATGATGCTTGAATAGTATTATCATGAACAAAGGACATTTAGATTCACTTTGGATTCTATCATTCATGTTTGCATATTACTCTGAATTGATTGTATAAACAAAAAATCTATCATTCATGTTTAAGGAAAACAAGGGATTCATCTATATTCCAAAATCTATCAACCATTTAAGGAAAACAATGGATTCATACAGATCGAGAAACACGGACCTTTCTCTGTCCCTCCCGCCGGTGTTGCGATTAAACAAAACAGACCACCCATGAGTTGACAAAAATAAAAGAAATTTCACATAAAAATTCTTCCAAAAACTAATTTCCTAGAAATTGACACCCAGTCTCGAGAAAACGAAAGAAACGGAAACATGAAAAACCAGCATAATTCCTGTGGTGGCGGTGTAGGTGTGGCCCCGTGATGGTAGAGGTTGGACACTTAACCCGTTTGTTTTGGGAAATAGACGAAGGATTGAAATTAAGATTGAGGTGAGATTTATTAATATTATGTTTGTTTTAGGAGATGTTGAGGAGATAATCCACTCTGGATTAGGATGGGTGTTAGGCCCCGTTTGTTTTTAGATGTAGAAATGAGGAAATTGATAGTGAGAAAATTGATAGTAAGGGGTAGGGATGTAAATTTAGCCCGGCCCGACTAGGCCCCACCTACTTGGGCTCGGGCCTTGCTTGGTCCATGTCAGGCCTCGTAGGCTTCAACCAAAATTCCGGTCGGTTCGGGCCAATCCAAAGGCCAAAAAATTAGGCTTATGAGTATTTGGACCTCAAGCAGGCCTGATCATTTTTTTTTATTTTTTATTTTTTATTTTTTCTACCAAAATTTTAATATTTTTTACTAAAAAAAATACTGGGCCTCAGGTGGGCTGAGCGGGCTGGGCCTTGAGTGGGCCTTAAGTAGGCCGATGGGCTAGGCCACGGGCCGGGCTTCAAAATGATGGCCCAGGCCCAGGCCCAGGGGCTCGGGCTGGGCTCAGGCCTGAGCCCATCCCGAGTCGCGGGCGAGCTTCAGGCTGCGAACTATTTTTACACTCCTAGTGAGGGGATTAAGTAAAATTGTGTTTGTTTTGATGATAGTTGTTAGTGTGAAGGTTGTTAAATTATTACCCTATAAAAAAAATATAAAATAGTAAAACAAATAAAACTATAATTTTTACTTAACAAAAAATAAAAAAACATTAAATATTAATGTTCAAAAAAAATGTCCAATATGTAAATAAAAAATAAAAAATAAAAATAAAAAAACCGAAAGACTAAATACCTAATATCACATCCACCTCCTCCATCCCAATCCCCTCTAAGGCTCAACCTAATCTGGACCTCCATCTCAATCCCCTTTCTATTTCTCAAAACAAACACAACACAATTGGTGAGTCTCACTTCTATCTCAACTCCAATCCTCTCTCCATCTTTCAAAACAAACGGGAAGGGGATTAGGATGGAGGCTTGAGACTTGATATTAGAAAATAGTCCGCCGATTTTTTTTTTTTTTTTTTGGTTAAGTAAAAATCATTGTTTTATTTGTTTTATTTTATTTTTTATTTTACAAGTTACGCTTTTTTTTTTTTGGAACATTAATGTTTAATGTTTTTTTTATTTTTTATTTGTTTTATTATTTTATATTTATTTTATATAAAAAATAATTTAACAATCCCTACACCAACTATTATCATCAAAATAAACACAATTTTACTTAATCCCCTCACTATCAATTCTATCAATTCTACCTCTGAAAATAAACGAACCCTTGGAGTTTTGGACTCTCGCTAGAGAGAGATCATTGAACTAAGAAAGTTCCTTGTTGGGTCGCTGGACTGAATTGATTTGAGTGAACCCCTTTTTTTCGGATAAATTAGGCAAATGGTACATCTAGTTTACATGATGTGGTAATTTAATTCATGTTGTTTTAATTTGTTCGATTTTCTCTTTTTTTTTTTTTTTTTTGGTTAAGTAAAAATCATTGTTTTATTTGTTTTATTTTATTTTTTATTTTACAAGTTACGCTTTTTTTTTTTTGGAACATTAATGTTTAATGTTTTTTTTTTTTTTTATTTGTTTTATTATTTTATATAAAAAATAATTTAACAATCCCTACACCAACTATTATCATCAAAATAAACACAATTTTACTTAATACCCTCATTATCAATCCCATCAATTCTACCTCTGAAAATAAATGAACCCTTGGAGTTTTGGACTCTCGCTAGAGAGAGATCATTGAACTAAGAAAGTTCCTTGTTGGGTCGCTGGACTGAATTGATTAGAGTGAACCCCTTTTTTTCGGATAAATTAGGCAAATGGTACATCTAGTTTACATGATGTGGTAATTTAATTCATGTTGTTTTAATTTGTTCGATTTTCTCTTTTAATTTAACGAATTATGTCATATTAGTTTAATAAATAACGGCCGTTAGGTTTGGTAGATGGAAACTCAAACGATGTGTCAATTTGGTCTTTGTAGTTTACACAATGTGTCAATTTGATCCATATTATTTTAATTTGCTCGATTTTGACAGGGCCAAAATTGATATATCGTTTGAGTTTTTGTCCAATAAGTTTAACGGTCATTATTTATTAGACCTATATGACACAAAATTAAAGAACAAAATGGAGGAAATTAAAATAATAGGGACTAAATTGACACATCATGTAAACTATAGGGATCATTTGCATAATTTATCTTCTTCTTCTTTTTTTGTCGTAGGCTGGTCTCCAGTGCTAATCGGATTAGACAATGAACAGACTCGTCGAGTATTTCATTAATGTAAAAAATCACGTTAATTAAATATCGATAGTCACTTTATCAGTTTATAGTTACTTGATCAGTTCACATGACAAAAATGGGAACTAATAAAGTGGCTATCGGTATCTGATCAATATGATTTTTTACAAGTATGAAGTACTCAATGAGTTTTACACATTGAACGGTTCGAATCATCGAGAAGGACCCTAAATGAGTCGAGCTGGACAATCCAATTGAGCAGCCTAACTTAAAGTTCTTTTTTTTTTTTAGGATAAATTACATTGACACCCCTTGTATTATTTTAAAATAACACTACACGCCTTTTATTTTTTGAAATCATACTGTCCTCCCATGTCAGATAACAACGTTCAATTTAATTGTGAGTTTACCATTACACCCTCGCTCTCACCCTCCTATGTTCTTCTCTTCTTCCCTCACGTCTCTCTCTCTCCCTCCCTCTTGTAGCCCACAATCTCTAATCTATTATTCAACAACAAGCAAGGATTGATTATTTTTCTGACCTAAACGCATCTCCTTCGTTTATCTATACCACCATACTTGCCCCCTACCTATTTTCGCCAAACAAACTATAACAATAAGCTCTCACCTCATACATCCACCAGACCAACTACTATTGTAATTCACACCCTCAATGTTGTTCGGAAAGAAAGGTATCATGAAGAGACTCAACGTGACATTGCATCGTCATCCTTATTTGAAACGAATACTCTTCTCTTGGTGGTTATGGAGGTAGTCTGAGTAGATATGGATGTTGTGATGTCCCGAATCCTTTAAAACAAATTGAGTGCATTAATTGGCAATCTCTGTCTCCTTGTGTTGTCTTCATTATTGTTAAACCATTTGAGTCTTGTGTTGTTATCCATTCTTTCTTGTGGTTGTTCAGGTAGGTACATCTGTCACGACCTAAACCTGTCATTATAGGTTTAGTACCGTAACTGGCCAGTAATCCTGAGATTACCGAAGGCCTCTGAATAGATTAACATATATTAAGGGGCTACAGAAGCAAATATACAATATATAACGTCCATTGAGCTGTGCAGACAAACAGGGGACAGATAATTTAAATTTTTATATATATACACGTGACGTCATAATGCAACCATCTTATGTCACCCGTCGATATAGATAAGACAAAAGTGGGACTTAGCCCATTATACAAAAATTCAGAAATTGAACGAGAGTCACGAAAAGAAAACAAAACAAAAGTTAAAAACATCATTCCCAAAACATGGCAACTTGACTTGACTTAATCCGGAACCTCCTCGAGAGGCACAAAATGGTGGTCAACAAAATTAAACTCTCCAAGCAACAGCTTAGGGCTGGTTACGCGCCTGCGCACCTACGTACATAGTATAAATAGTGAGCGGAAGCCCAGTGAATAATGACAGAGTAAAGGTTTTACTAAATGATGTCCATACAGAAACAGAGTCTTGTACATAATCAGATGTCAAAGCAGAAACAGATTCATATACAAAATCATATTCGTAATCAAAGTTCATACATTTTCACATAATAATATGTGAT